TTGTTATTCGCCTCCCTCAGTTGACTTTGAAGAACCTATAAGTATAACAAGAGAGTTTTGGGCATCGAGGAGGGAGGAAAGAGCAAAATAATCAGCCAATAAAGCAACACAAAGTTCCATTTGTTGCTGAGTGCCTGAATATCTACAGTGTACAATACAGATTGTAGCATGTTACATCAGAAAGCAGCTGAGTTCATCAGAAATCAAACGATAACAATACGACAATGCATAGTAACAGTGAGATACGTAGACATTGTGTGTGTGTGTGTGTGTCAATCAGTCGGCTTGATCATCCCAGAATGTTTCGAACGCTGATGTACCTGCACTGTTCACGTGCATTATAATTAAACTGCATTGGAAACTCCGTGTTGCCGTATAATCGCGCTATAACATTTTACTTTGATGGAAAGACAATACAATACCGGTTAATCTCCCAGTCAATCCCTTGTGATTGGTTTTCGCTTGCATTGTCGTTCTGAGCACTGCTTCAAGTGTTTGCCCAGCAGTGAACGCACGCAACATTAACGGTCGATTAAACTTTTACATTCAGCTGAAACTCACGACTAGAGCGTGAGATAGTGAGCCTCGCGACCGGGGTAGTTACGCTCACTGTTACATCATCCCACCACAATCTGCCGTGAGTCAACATTGAACAACAAAATACTGAAGAGATAACTGTTTCTTACAAAGCACATAAGTATAGTCGGAAAAAAATGTACGAACGTCTTGATTGGATGAGATCAGATATGAAACCGTTCATGCAACAAAAACTCCAGTCTACTGAAAGCCGACACTATCTATTGGACGCACAACAATTTTATTTTGCAAAATGATACGATCTCCGTCACCATTTGCTATTTTATTCTGATGAACAGTTCAGAGGTCAAAAGGAATTATTGATGTCAGTATGCATAACCCGGTTTGCAGCAAAAAGAGCCAAATCCCATAGTTCGATAAAACCAACAACTCAAGAGCTGGGACTTGAAGTGACGAGTAGGAGAATCACACGGGAACAGTTGCGGAATTAGACCGAGCGAAATGAAACGGGCTGTCGCCGGTTGTATAGCCAATTTTAAACGTGCGGCCACCATCAATCGATCGCATTAAACCTGAATGTATGCTCAAGAGAAGTGTATCGGGAAACAAATGGCTAATCAAACTCCCGTTAAATGCAATAAAGACATCGCTGTCCAAGTAGCATTGGACGAGTCTGTTGGGGCAGCCGGACGAGAAATGCTAAGGTTAGGCGTAGAGTTTTAGATAAATGCGGTCGCCCACTGGAGGAAGTGGTAAACCTCCATAGATTACGTTAGTTGGAGCATGTGTAACGCATGCCACCGAATGGGTTGCCACGGCCAGCGCTGTTCGCCGAGGCAGGTAGTGGGTGGAAGAAAGTCAAAGGTGGTCAAGCTAAGACCTGGAATGAGGGTATGAAAACCTTAACCAGGAGTCTGGGTCCCATAGGTCTCGTTAGGCCCCCTGGCTGGGGACCTCAGGATGGTCGTAACCGATGGTTAGAGACACTGAGTGGTATGCCTGCGTATCGTAAACAGTGGCGTTCGTGCATCTTGTCGATTTCTATACAAAATTAGTGCAATGAAATCCTAAATTTTCTCTTCGATCCTACTTTCAACCTTTCCTGTCTCTCTCCTTATGTTCATCCAAATGGGCAGCCAAAAGGCAGCGACCAAAACCGGTGCACGATAGTGCACGGTTAATGGTTGTAGAAACTGAAGTGAAACTGGGATGGAGAAGATGGAATAATAGTCAAATGTGTCTTCAAAAGAATCACTCAAAACAAGCTGAAAAGTGGAGGGATCAGAGTGCACTACCATGAAGTGTATCCTCTGGTCGTTTGAGAACATATAAATAAGGGTTTTGCCATAGTTTAAAATCCGAAAGCTCCAGTGGTTTTGTGCATATCAGTGGATCAATTGATACCACGAAGAATACTATGTGAGTAAATATTACTCCCTCCCCCTTCCTGTTTTGCAATTGTGATGCTGAATTCTTGATCATACCACGACACATGAGAACGATTCCAAAAACTCTGTATCAACTATCCCTATGGTCGACAATGTTCAAGCATGCATTCCCAAGTGTAACAATGGACGCCTGAAAGAGAAGGGAGTAGGGACCATCCTTGGCGGAAAACCTAGCGGCATTTTCGGTGGTTTCATACATACATAACTCAATTGAACAAAAACGTACTTGCTCCGAAATGATGACCGATCTTCAAGGGGCATGCTTTAGGGCAGAAGGCGTACCGTATCAGTTAAAAGAGCAATTGAAACATACCATGATTTGCGCATTTGAGCGTGCCAGTTGTTTTTCAATATCCTCGACAAACGCTTTGGCTCGATCGCGTTCGTTCGTAAGCATGGTAACAGTCCGCTCAGCGATGGAGAGTTTGTCTTGCGCTTCATTGGACCGATGCTCCGCAGAAGATAATTGTTCCTGTAGTTGGGCAATATCTCCCTCGTTGCGTTTTATTTCAAGCGTCAGCCGGTCCAACTCCTGGCGAGTTTGTTCAATGACTTTCTGCGCCCGGTCGAACTGGAGAAGTGAACAAAGATAGAAGTGAATACTATTTTAGTCGCTAGCTGAAATAAATTGATACTGCAGTGTCTTGCTTGTCAACTCACTTTTCGTATCTCATGTTGTTTTAATACGCAAGACAATATGTTGTACACACAATACAAAAGCTGCTCGTGACTAACACAGGTGTTCTCGGACGGTGCTACTGATGGATAATATTCCATAATTATCAGTTGTTATCAAGCAATCCATTAACTGTCGCAGTGATCCGTTTTATTTATCTTGTATACCATAGATGGAATTCACCGTGAGAAGGATACAAAAGAATAAAGTCGTATAACCTTGCTGCAAGTCAGTTCGGAGGATCTTACTCTATCCAGTTTATACAATGTTTTTTCATCAGAATAAGAAATCAATTATCGATAGGAAAAAACACTGCTAATCCGACAAAACACTGTTGATCAAAGCATTAAAACAATCGAAATCCAATAAAAATTGGTGAAACATGAGATATGGGCGAACAAGGTAGACGCATTCATTCGTAACGATATAATGTTCTAAACACTTATTAGCACAATGTCATCTGCAAACTCTAGATCAGACAGCCTACCACCTGGGAGTAAGTCGATGCCACCATCTCGCACGATGATGGGGCTGTTTCCATAATCAGATCAATAACAAAGTTGAATAGAAAAGGAGAGAGGACAACCTTTCGAACACCACATTCTGCAGTGAACTCGGGTGAAAACGTGCGATAAGCTCGGACTCGGCTTCGGCTATTAGTATAAAGGGATTGTAA